TTGTATTTATCAGTTTAATAATTTCATCTTCTCTAATTCTTGGGAAGAGTGAAACTATATACTTATGAAAACATAGTGGATTACTTTGATTGGGCTGGACCCCTCGTGGACTTTTCCCTTTTTCAGGATTTTTCTACATAAAAAATCATACTGACTCATCGATCTACTTTTCTATTATAAATTATCACTTTATCCCTTGAATTTTTTGATACGTAACAATTATAATTATTAAAAAAATCTTAAAATTTAAATACTCAACATGATCCCATTTTGAGGAAGAGATCATCATCAATGTTTTTAAAAAACACATAAATTATTACTTGGGGTTTGACTAGAAGAAACCTAATCTTTTTACTTATTTTATGTGGACTCCATCTTGATTGGCCATACACACAAATGTACAAACCACTCCCCCCCACACACACACACTCTCTCTCTCTTCATATTTACATACCAAAACACACGGGGGCACACACACCACATGAATTAAGTTTTATATTCTTGTTGAAATTTGACCCAAGGAAAAAATTGGGCCAAGATAGTACTTAATTATTAAAGTCCAGACAAATGATTTGGATCCGCCGGCCGCGTTCATTTGGGCCTAATAAATTCACTGGATCAAAAGAAGACATTTGAGAACTATTAGTTTAAGAAAAAAAAATTGAATCCGACATGTCGCACGAAGAGAAAACTCATGGATGCATACTTTCGGCGAGCCCTCAAGTATGATGATGTGTAAATAGCCAAAACATTAATCCATTCATATAATTATGGTTGTAAATGGGGCAATGCATTCGTTGAATAACTTGAACTCGACTTGATTAAAACTCGCTCAAATTATTTGAATTAGTAAATAAGTGTGTTTTTTAAAAGGTCTCAAAAGTTTAAATGAACCAATCTTAACAGAACTGTCTAAGTTAATTTATTGTTTAAATAAAAATTGATTAGTTAGAATATATTTAGTAGTAATTTATTATGATTAATATTGATATGTGGTAGAAAATTCGCAATGGTAGAGTAATGAATTATCGTCTTAGCATTAGACGAGAATTCACCACATTCTGATAAAAGTAAACAACTAGATTGGGTGCCACAGTGTCTAGGCGATAGTCTACTTTCAGGACACGATTTTGACATCGATCTAATCCTGATACACCCCTAATGGGCTAAAATGGCGCGGATGTCCTTGGGCTTGAAGACATATGCATGGCGGGATGCAATGACTTTGTTTTAGCCTCATTTGGCATTTCCTAAATGCCCTCCATTAACCTTTTTTGGCCTAATCAAAGGGGTACTTTTGGGATTTGCATGAGGAGGTTGGTTTAAGCTTTTTTGGCCCCCTCATTTCAGGGATCTTCTCTTTATCTTCAACATTGCTTGGGTCTTGGGCTTGGTCATCTTCTTCCTTTGGATCATGGTGCTTGGAGCTAGGGTTTTCTCTTGTGAGCTCAAGAAAACTCTTGAAGTGGAGAGCACTAGAGAAGGGTAAGGAGTAAGGCTTGTTTCCTAGAGCTTCTACTTCCTTTTCTCCTTCTTATTTTTCCACAAGAAACTCTTCTCCTCCTCGCTAGATAGCTCTTTTTCCCTCCACCACTTACCTTGAGTGTGTGAGGAGATCCTCTTGGGAAGGAACTTGGCTAGCAAGGAAGCAAGGTTTCACTTCTCTTACGCTAAAGGTGTGCTTAATCCTAACTTGGAGGAAGGATCGTCGGAGCACGGTCGGAAGTTCACCAAAATTTCATCAGACTCTCCTTCTAAAGGAGACCTTCATCATTCTTTTGAGGAGTGGAGCGGTCCTCGTTGGAACTTCATCGGTGCTCACAACCTCGTTGTAGTTTACACTCTTATTCTATCGCTAAGAGGGCTTCATTCTACATGAAGAAATGCGATATATAACACCACGTTGGTGAGGTTCCATAAAAACCTTCTTTCTTTCTTTTTTATCTAGTCATAGGAGTAGATTTTGCTAGGTGTTGTGGGTTTGATCACCCTTGCTAGGCAAGTTGGTTGACTGACACTAGTCAGCACGACCATACGCCTACTGATTGACCGTTTATTTCTTAGAGAAAGCCCTTAGTTAGGAAGCTTTCGTTGGACACATTCCTAGCAAATCTGATAGATTCTCTTACAAACCTTTAAGTCTACACTTAAGCAGATCAGAGTCATAATTTCCCCTTGCTTTGACATTTCCAACCCTCCTTGGAGGGGTTTAGATACATAGATTTTATGAAGTGAGAAAAAGGTTTGTAGCTAGCTCACTTTGCAAAATAATGAGGATTTGTTGAATAGGAAAAGCTTTGTAACCGGTCGATTCCACAACATTGTGGAGAGTGTCCTTTTGGAAATTTGAAGGTGAAGTTCCCCACACGCGTCGCATGTGTTAAACCCTAGGTAACTATGTGAGGTAGATAAAACAAGTTCGACGTGCTATCGAAGTGTTTTGGATTGCATTGCTTGCATGCTCATTTGTGGCATTTGCATTTTTGCAAGCCCTATCACACAATTCTTTGGGTTCAATCAACTGTCCCGTGTCGATCACTTGCTTTGGGTGTGATCGGTCATGCCAGACCGATCTCCCGATCCTTTTTGTTCAATCGACCTCCACATTTTGATCACTCACTTTGGGTACGATCGACCATCCCAGGCTAATTATCCTTTCTTTTGGTTTTAATCAGTTGTTCTGGGTCGATCATCTAGTCCTTTGTGTTCGATCGACCATCAAGCCCCGATCACCCGATTTGGGTTTGATCAACCACCCCGGTCCAATCACCTGCTTTGGGTATGATCAGTCGCCCCAACTGGATCAAACCATTTTTTGGGCTCGATCTACCACCTTAGCTTGATCGCTCAATCTTTTGGGTTTGATCGTGTAGATTTATTTGATCACCCACTTTGGATCTGATTGACCACGCTGGTTCGATCTCCCAATCTCATGGGTTTGATCGACCGCACTGGTTCGATCACACACTTTGTGTCAGATTGGTCGTCTCGGTCCTACTGACCCATTTCTCGGGCTTGATTGGCCACTCGGGGCCTATCACCCGTTCTCTTGGGTTTGATCGACCACATCAATTTGATCACTCACTTTGGGTCTGATTGGTCGTCCTGGCTCGATCGACCCATTTTTCTTGCTTGATCGGTCGCCATGACCCGATTGCCCGATCTTTTGGGTTCACTCGTTTGCATCGCATCGATCCCCCACTTTGGGTTCGATCGGTCATCTCAATCCAATCACCTACTATTTTGGGTTTGATTGATCATCCTAAATCGATCGACCCACCGTTTCAGTTCGACCTGCCGTCACACCCCAATTGACTGGTCACTCGCATGCTTGTATATTCTCTTGCATATTGCATGTTTTCTTTGCATGTGCATGAGATATCTTTTGACTTGATGTATATGATTTATTTCATTACCTGTAAAATATCTTTGCATTATTTGCTTTGCATGTGACATGTTTGGATGTCTCTTTGAACATCCATGTTTGAGGTGTGTCTTTGAGAACCCCCACTTGTAGTGTTTCTTTGAGTGCCCACAGTTGTAAATGTCTTCCCCCCTTACAACGTTGTATGCATGGGGATGGATACTTGCACACTTTGGGAGGAGTTGGCTCACTTATAGGCCAGTAATCTCACTCCCTACGATGTCGCTTGGAATTTTGTAGGTATTTCACATTTTGTTAAGCATGAGTCACACTTTCTAGCCACTGAACTCGTGCGAGGCACATTTTGTGTCCACCTAAATGTGTGATTCTCACTTGTAAGGATCACATCACTTATTATGTTTGACACTTAACATTCTTGTATGCTTGTCATTTGTATGTCATACGTTTGAACTTTCTCATATGTTTGTTGCTTTTTTGTATGCTTGACTGTTCTCATTATCTTGTTGCATATCTTATATGTTTGCATGTGTACTCAGTGAGTGTCTCTCGGGTAATGTGTAAATCCTCTTTATATGTATCATTTTACTAAATGCAAACTCACTCGTAGCCGGTGTCTTCTTATTGCATGGTGCCCCGGGCCCCCCAACAGATGTAATTCCTTTCCATAGGTAGCTTGTTTTACCGATACATCTCATTCGTGTGTATCATGTTGCATGCATACATCCTTGCATTCAATTGCATGATGTGTGTTTCGCTCTTTTGGGCGCCCCTTGTAATTATGAGTACGGTGGTTGAAAGAATTCATCATGAAAAGTTATCGTCAGATCCCCAATATGACGTTATTCAGTATTCCGTATGTCGGATAATTTGCAACTTCGTATTCATGATACCCTGTTACTCTGTATTCAATATGCTTCATAACTCCATATTCAGAATTCTTCGTCGCATTGTATTTAGAGGTATTTTGTTACAAAACAGAGTTCATTGACAAAGACTAGCAAGAGTGGCCAACAGTGGTCGACATCTATGGGGGCAAGGGTAAGAAGTTGTCGTTTGGTCTTCAGTGCAAAACGACAATGAAATTTGACTCTTTTCTCGCCCAGTAAAGTGAAGAGAGTGGATCTATTTATATGTTTTAGAGAAGAGTCATTTCAAATTTGAAGCTCATTTGACTCTCTAATTAATTACCCAAATTCTCCAAGTGTTGCTCAATGGCTTGCTTCGAGCTCGAATTTGACTAATTTTGGTATCATTGGATTTGACTTATCGGGACGTTGAGTTTGACTATAAGTTTATTGAAATCAAAGCTCTTCACGACTTTAATTTGAATCAAAATTATTTTTCAGGTAAAAAGTATCTTGAGATTCGTGTCAAATGATGAAATTTGTTGATTAAACATCAATCTTAAAAGGAAAAATAAGATAAATAAATGCAAAATAAGTAAACAAGTAAATAAAATAAATAACATTATGAGCTTTTTTCAGGGAGAGTTATATTTCAATGATATCCATATGTTAAGATAAATATAAAAAAGAGTTCCTCTGATCCATTGCTTTATTATAATGCTCATAAATTTACTATATTACCTTGTTTTTCTCTCTTATAATTCTACACGAGTGAAAGTGGAAGGAAGTCATCAGGCCTTAGACTTCTCCTTCCCTCTTTTATCTCAATCCACGCTAAGTATCCACAGCTGAACTCTTTCTCCCTCTCATTTCCCCTGCAAAAGGTAAACTTGTAATAAGTTTTAATTCTTCCCCCAGCAGAAGCAAATACATTACATGTCCACTATAAATACAAGCATAACTCCCATTCTAAAGAGCAAAGCCTGCTGCTTTGCAAAATCTTCAATAGAACTTCAAGAGCTGATTTTTTTTTATAATTCTTTGTTTGATCACTCAGACTGTCATTACAACCATCTACTTTTATATTACAGTAAGAACCTCAGCCCTTCTTACTGAAAAAAAAAGGGTGGAATTCCAGAACTCAATTATGGAGAAACTTATGGAGATATTTCTCCTCACCTACGTCCCTCATGTTCAAAAAACAGCCAAATTATTAATATTTACCGTTAAATGCCTCTATCAGCCTTTACAAAAAAGCAAAAAAAAGAGTTTTTTATTACGGAAGCTGTTTGTAATGAAAAAATGGAAATTTTTAGTGGTTGAAATGGTGATTTTTAAATTTATAAATATATTGGGTTGTTCATATTTAAGAATCCTAAGAATCCCAATAAAAAAGGACTTCCCTTTACCAATTCTTCGAAGGTCATAGCCTCTCTATGGCATTGTCAAAATCCATCTTTTTCCTGCACGTTCATAATGTTCTGCTTTATTAACATTTTCATACCTGGTCACAACTAGAGCTCCCCTCTTGTTGCCATTTGTCACTCTCATCCCCCTAAGCCAGCCATGCTCCTTCCTAATATAAAGGAAAAAAAAAAATGTAAATCTACCATAAACTATAAAATGATTATTCCATATAAAATAGAATTAAAAAATTACAATTTTTGCTCTGCACATCTGATTACCATTTTCCTGAAGAGTTTTCTCTGTTCTATAAATGGACATTTAATGCAGGAGCAAACAAACCTCCTCCTCCTGCCCACCACCTGTCTCCATGGCCACCTTGCAAGATCCATGCGATCCTCCCTTCCTACAAAGATACAGTTCTCTGTTCTCTTCTGCAACTAGAACGCAGCCATGTTCCAGGAGCAACGAAAACAGAGTTTTTGAGGAATGCGAGCTCCCATTGATAGATTTATGGCGCCTGCATTGTGGGGACGAAGAAGAGAGGAAGGCTTGCGTGGCTGAGATCGGGAGAGTTTCTTCGGAGTGGGGATTCTTCCAAGTAGTAAATCATGGCATCAACGCGGAGCTTCTGAGGGATATTAAGATAGAACAGAGGAGGCTGTTTCAGTCGCCGTTTGAGAAGAAGGTGAAATCGAAGGTTTTTAACGAGTCTTACAGGTGGGGAAATCCAACTGCAACTTCGCTGGATCAGTTCTCCTGGTCAGAAGCCTTTCATGTCCCGCTTTCCAAGCTTGCAGAACATGATCATGGCTTCGAAGAAGAGTTTATGTCGTTAAGGTTGTGTTTCTGTCTTTATTTGCTTGAATTTTTGATTTTTGGGTTTGTTTTGTGAGTTGTTGATCATAAAAATATCATTTTTATGTGATTCATTGAGTTTGGCTGAGCTTAGATTAGGAGTTCAGATGATTTTTTTTTTCCTTTTCTGCTTAATTTTCAAAATTAGCATAAATCATAAATTTCAATTGGCTCTAAAAGCTGAAAATAAGTTGCAAAAATTAGTATTCTTGGCTGAAAGCAAAAAAACAATCTTTGAGAGGACAATCTTGTATTCAACTTAATGAAATATTTCAATTTATTTTCAGCAAATATGTAATTAATTGGAGTGCACTTGTAAATATCATGCAAGATAAAAGCCAGCATTTTCTTAACAAAAAAATTTGGGGCATTTACATAGATACCACCCAATTCCTATGTATTTACTTATCTTAACACTTAAATTTTCATCATTTACAACACATAAATCTTTTGTACCATGTAAAAAATAAAACTTTCGTAACTATGGTGATATATATAAAAATTGAAGTTTGGGTGTTAAATATGTAGGTACCTAAGAGAAATGTTTGAAATGCGCTCTTTTATTCAAATACTTACTGTTACAATTACTGCTTTTAATTTAACATGAAGAATGTTAATCATTCAAAAATTGATTCGGATTTTGAATCGGATCGACATAAATGAGTCGAGCTACTGCTCAAAATTTTGAATTGAATTTTTTTCGATTCAATTTTTAGCTAATTACTTGACTCGAAATCAGATAGTATGGTGATATTAATACTGTAAATTTAACAAATTTTAAGCTAAAAAAATAATTTGAATTTTAGCTCAGATTAAAATGAACGCCAAGCTTTCCCTCGACCTAATTCGAAGCTTTGCTTCTACCAGGGCAGTGATGCAGAAGCTCGCTGGAGCCATGTCGGAGCTTGCGAGGATATTGGCCGGCGTTCTTGCCGAGAATTTGGGATGCCTTTCCACCTGTTTGGAAGAGAACTGCAGCGAGGGCACCTGCTTCCTTCGTCTCAACCGATACCCACCGTGCCCATTTTATCCCGATACCTTCGGCTTCATCCCGCACACCGACAGCGATTTCCTCACCATTCTCCACCAGGATCAGATCGGCGGCCTCCAATTGATGAAGGATTCCAAATGGGTCTCCGTCAAGCCCCACCCCGAAGCCCTAATCGTCAACATCGGAGATCTCTTTCAGGTATATCTTAACCTAGTCCTTCTACCATAAAATTTCCCCAAAATTTTAAGGGCGCTATAGCAGTATTGAAGCGGAAAAGCTTATTGATTGCAGGCATGGAGCAATGATGTGTACAAGAGTGTGGAGCATAAGGTGATGACGAATCAGGTCGAGAGGTATTCCATTGCTTTCTTTCTTTGCCCCGCGTATGAATCCATTATAGGGAGCTGTAAGGAGCCTTCTCGCTATAAGAAGTTTACTTTTAGGGAGTACAGGGGGCAGGTGCAGGAGGATGTTAAGAGAACTGGATATAAAGTTGGGCTCAAAAGATTTATTGCATGATTATGCATTATTCAATTTGATGGATTGATATGTTTCTTGAATTGAATTATTAGATTTAGTAATGCAAGCACCATAGCTAGTCTGTGGACTAACAGCTTAGTCTTTTAACCAAGAAGTCCTGAGTTTAAAGTTTTGTACATGCGATGCGCATGAATTTATGATTAAATTCGCTCAAATTTGCCCGATTATTAGTTGACTAACTAAGTAAAATTACTGCATCTAACCCCCTTTCCAGGATGGCAAGGAATCATTCAAGTTTGTAAGGTTTAGATTTATGATATAAATGATTAATGTAATATTCCAGGCTATGGAATTTTGTGATATCTCATTTGAAAGTTGTTTCGGAAATTTTTATCGTTGAATCATAAATTATTTGTGAATTCACGCCTTAAGGCAAGAACTAGGGATAGAGGAAAGAGTAAGCTACAAAGAATGATTTGTAGCGAAAATACTGTATTATTTTTGTAAGATTATAAATGGATGTCTTGAATCATAGTTCAAAAATGTCGCTTGTGACCTCCCAATGAATTGTATTTTATATTTGTTCTTCCTTTTTTTATATATGAGAGTTATTCCTATAGAACATATATGGGCAATGATTACATTTAATCTAGAAAGATTTTTGATCCATCGTCTTTATCTATTTTTTTTTTTTTGTAGATGTTATAATTAATTTTTACTTGATAAGTTTTGTGGCAATGATTACATTTAAATCTCGAAAGATTTTTTATCTATCATCTTTATTATTATATTTTTTTGGTGTGGATGTTATAATTACTTTTTACTTGATAAGTCTTGTCATGATAATTTTTGTCAACCAACTTGGCCATGGGGAAAGTTATCTTGCAAGAGTTGTTTTCTTATGAGAATTGTTCCAGTAGAGTTCTCTTGGGAGACCTATACTGAGAGTGTTCTCTTCATAGAGTTGTTCTTGGGAGACCTATACTGGCAGGAGAGTTCTTTTCGAAGAGATGTTCTAGGAAAACTCTTGGAAGAGAGCTATTTTAGGAGATATCTTCTAAACGAGACGAACTGAGCTATTCTTCTAGTCATTTAGCTCCTCAACAAACTGAGTTATTTTTCTTAACTAATTTAGTAAATTGAGGTGTTTTCCTCGACTAATTTGGCTCTTATATGAATTGAATTGTTATCTTGGATGAATTCAGCTCTTGGACGAACAAAGTTGTTTTCCTGGAAGAGTTTAGTTATTGACAAATTAAGCTATTTTTTTGGATGTGTTTTGCTTTTGGATGAATTAAGTTGTTTTCTTGGAGGAATTTTACTGACGGGCGAACTTATTTTCCATTATGAGTTTAACTTTCGGACGAACTAAGCTATTCTCTTGGACGAATTAATCAGGTCTTCTAAATGAACATAGCTCTTTGAGCTATTTGGCTGTGCGTCTCGAACTGGTTTCGATTGATCTATTTCATACATATTTAATTTCATAATTTTCTTATCTTTTCGAAAGCAACTACAAAACAAATAAAAGAATGATAAACATGAAACTATGTATTGCTTTTCTTTCTAAGATAAATGTTTATTCTCAAGTTCAACAAATGAATTTGTTAAATATGTTAATTTTTTGTAGATATGAATCAAAATTATTCAATATAAGATGAGAGACATATTTCATTATGTGCTTACTACTCGTTGACCTGAGTTCTCTTAGCTCTCCTATAGGTAATCATCCTTGGGGTAGTGGCTACACCAACAGGTTTCGAAAGCAACTACAAAAAACAATAAAAGAATGATAAACATGAAACTATGTATTGCTTATCTTTCTAAGATAAATGTATATTCTCAACTCCAACAAATGAATTTGTTAAATATGTTATTTTTTTCTAGATATGAATCAAAATTATTCAATATAAGATGAGAGGCATATTTCATTATGTGCTTACCACTCGTTAACCTAAGTGCTCTTAGCTCTCCTATAGGTAATCATCCTTGGGGTTGTGGCTACATCAACAGGATTTTGTTTTGGTGACATTTTGGTTCATCTTTAGAGAGTAGCCTTATAGATTACCTGCTCATCTTTATTATCATATTTTTTATTAAATTGTTGATTTGATTTACTTGATGATCTTACAGGGTGAGTTCTTCAACTATTATTAGTGAACTTAGTTTATCCATAAATAATTATATTTTATGCGCGAGTATATTGATTATTTTCTTATAATATAACTCAGCCATAAAGAAATTCAAATGATGTTTCTAAATTTAAATTATCATTCGCTCGTGAAGAGGGAGTACTCATGTAATTTCTTAACTTTACCCTGGCTGAGATCTCATGACCTTTAATCCCTAGGTTAACTGATTTCATCCTTTAATTTAATCATGTTATATTTTAAAATGAGTTTCTATAAAGTCATCCCTAGCATTCAGCTTTTGAGTCAAATATGAATTAAAAGTTTATTTGTTTTTCTTTTACTCAAACTTACTTATGAGGGACAAGTTCTCTGATTTATTAAGTAGACGAATTCCCTGTGTGTGATTGGCTAACTCCTTCTATATTACAAGTAATGTCTATATTACTTATTATATGAGTACATATGAATATATTGATTAATGAAGTCAGCAAAAACTTAAAAAAAAAATAAAACAAAATAAAATATAAAGAAGAAGATATGATCAGTGAGATTTTCTCTTTTTTAAACATATTGGTAGATGTTTCTCTGTTGATTAACTCCTCGACAAAATATTTTTCTGAAGTTATTGTAGGATAACTCTTGGCAAAGCTGCGCTGGGAGAGTTCTCTTAAGAGAGTTATTTTGGGAGCTCTTTCTTGGGAGAGTTGTTTTGAGGGAACTCTCTTTAGAGAGCTAATGTGTGAGAGTTTTTCTAAGAGAACTATTTTCATAGAGCTATTTTTTTGGAGTTCAATTCATGAATGAATTCAGCTGCTCTTGTGGACGAGTTTGGATGACTTCTCTAGTGCAATTCATATTGTTGGTTACTTTTTTATGTTTAGGTTTAGCTCATGGTGTAGCTCCTCTTCTCATTTATAACATGATCCTCATTTATCGCATCTTAAGAGGTGTTAAATTTTGAATAGTATGTGGATTCACACTTCATGGAAATAATTAGGAAAGGAAAAAAAGAGTGATTCAAAAAGATTGAATCAACAACAACAACAGCATGTCTTCATCCCACTAAGTGGGGTCGGCTGCATGAATCATTTTTATCCATTGCGCCTTATTAAGTGTAATATTTTCATTCAATTCTAATAAATTAAGATCATTTTTATACAATAAGTGTAAGTCTTTCTATGTCTACGCCTATCCTTCTTAACATAAGTTGAGTCTAAAACCTCCACTCTTACAACTGGATCATTAGATGGTCCATGTTTAATGTTAGCAAACCATTTAAGACGACTCTCTCTAATGTTGTCTGTCACTGGAGTAACGCCAACCCTATCATGGGTATATTCATTTCGCATTTTGTCTCTAAGTGTCAAGCCACTCATCCACTTAAGCATTCTCATCTCGGCAACACTTAACTTTGTTTTTTTCTTCTCTTTTAAAGGCCAACATTCTGCTCCATAGAACATTGCAGGTTGCACCACCATCTTATAAATTTTCCTTTCAATCTTAAGTAGAACTTTTCTATCACACAATGGGCCTAAAGTATTCCTCCACTTTAACCAGCTAGCTTGAATTCTTCTAATAATATCTCTATCTATATTACCATCACTTTGAACAACAAACCCGAGATATCTAAAGCTTTCACACTTTTAAATGATTTAATCACCAATAGTTACAACGCTACCATTAGAGCTACTACTACTAAAATTGCATTCCATGTATTCAGTTTTAGTTCTACTCAAAAAAAAGCCTTTGGACTCCAATTTAGACCTTCATAATTCAAGTTTTTTTCTGAACTCTTTCTTTAGTCTTATCCACAACAAGGATATCATCAGAGAAAAGCATACACCAAGGTTCATTCTTCTGTAAATGTCCAATAAAGCATCCATAACTAAAGCAAAGAGATATGGGCTTAAAGCCGATCCCTGATGTAATCCAATTGAATTAGGAAAACACTTGTGATCAATCCTCCTTCTGTTCGAAAACAAGCAACAACTCCAGTATACATATCTTTAATGATTTGTATATAAGTCATATTACATTTCTTCTCTAGAAGTCTCCAAAGAAATTTTCTTGGAACCTCATTAGAAGCTTTTTCTAAATGAATAAAAATGATATATAGATCATCTTTATTCTCTTTATACTTCTCCATAAAACGTCTCAATAAACATATAGCTTCTATAGTAGACATGCTCGACATAGATCCAAATTGTTTATGAGAAATCTTAGTAACACATCTTAGCCTATGTTCAATTACTCTCTCTCATAATTTTAAAATATGACAGATTAACTTAATATTCTATAATTTGCACACTCTTGTGCATCTCATTTATTCTTAAAAATCGGGACCAATATACTTTTACCCCACTTCTCAGACATCTTTTTAGTTTTAAAATAATATTAAAGAGTTTAGTAAACCAAGAAACTCTCAAATCTCCTAAACATTTTCATACTTCAATTGGGATATTATCAAAATCTACTGATTTGTCACCTTTGATTTTCTTTAAAGTTATCAACTTCTTTTTTACTAATGTGACAGTAAAAATAAAACATTTATCGTTATTATTAATATTAAGGTCACTAAGATCGATCATATTTTAAGAAATTTCATTGAAAAGTTTATCAAAATAGCTCACTCACGTCTGTTTAATATATTTTTCTAAGAAAATTACCTTTTTATTTTCAACTTTAATACACTTAACTTGAGTTGAATACTTACTTTTCTTTTCTCTTTATTTTCCTAGTTTATACATACATTTTTCACCCTCTTTAGTATCTAATTTTTTATAAAGATCACTAAAAGCTAAATTTTTAAAGTTACAAATGGTTCTCTTAAACTTCCTACGGGCTATCTTGTATTTTTCCCACCCCTCTAAGTTTTTGCATTTAAATCAATTTTTATAACAAAACTTCTTATATTTTATTTTTTATTGCACATTTATTTTCAACCACCAACTTTTTTTATTTATAGAAACTATTCTTTTTTATTCTTCAAGTACATCTTTTGCCACTTAATTAATAGTGTTTGTTTATTTATCCTGCATAGAATTTGCTTCTTCACGGACAATCCAAAGCTTGAAATTTTGAAGTTTACTTATAAAAATAATTTTATTTGTATTTTTTAGGTGTCTCATCTAATCCTATGACAATGATTCCCAATATTTTTTATCTTACAACTCTTCATTTTAAAATCCAGAACTAATAATTGATGTTTAATACT